CCTTTCAGTGAGCCGGGGGGATCGAAGAATAAGCAAAATTTTACGAGAACGGCTACTTTTGTAACCTGTTCTCCTACTTATCCTGTTATCAAATACAATTGGGCACGCGTCCACGCGTTGCAATTGATCAATCGCGGCACACAACACAATTTCACACGTAATTAAAAATAATTTTTTCACTGCACAACAAATTGAACTACACTGTTTGCCATCACACAGAGCAACACGTCTTCCTTCGAAAGGGAAGTAAAACCATAGAGGTAACTCCATAGAGGTAACTCTAAGACTAGTAGGTCCTGAAGAAAATCATTATTATTTTTGGCTCACTCAGTACCAGAACAACGGTCCCAAGCAGTCCCAAGCTATTTCACTCACCCCTGCATGTTCTGCATGAATCCACACACCCCTGATGTTATCTGTCAAACTTTCATAGCGAATCAAAACAAACATAGTGTAGTAATAGAATTTCAACTAGAATAGGGTACGTTAATCGTTTGCTTGGGACCAATAGGCTACTAAAGTGGTGAGCCAATTTAAAATCGTTAGTTTCGTATTGATTGTTGGTAACTCTAAGACCACTGGGTCCCGAAGGAAATCATTATTATTTTTGGCTCACTCAGTACCAGAACAACGGTCCCAAGCAGTCCCAAGCTATTTCACTCACCCCTGCATGTTCTGCATGAATCCACACACCCCTGATGTTATCTGTCAAACTTTCATAGCGAATCAAAACAAACATAGTGTAGTAATAGAATTTCAACTAGAATAGGGTACGTTAATCGTTTGCTTGGGACCAATAGCACAAACGAAGTGACAGACGGAGCGGCTCGAAAACTTTGGTGACTAACCTGCTATTTCAATTTTTCAGTGTACCACATGGCAACACCACTATTATGTACTGGATTGTACCACATGGCAACACTACTACTGGATTGTACTAGCATTTTCACCAAATGTATTAGAATGTTTTGGTTCTATCTCTTTCACTCTACTCAAAACTGAAATGCATAAAAAAATGACAAAATGATACGCACTCTTTGCACACTGTCAAAGAATCATTGTACACAAAATCAACTTTGTTCAAATCAAAACAAAAAAACTAACCCATCTGGTGGATGATGGCACAAGCTTCCAAGAAAATTCTATTACAGTGAACCACATTATTTCAATGGATTTCTTCGCCAGTTAGTCGTCTGTCACTTCGTTTGTGCCAATAGGCTACTAAAGTGGTGAGCCAATTTAAAATCGTTAGTTTCGTATTGATTGTTGGTAAAACCGTTGGTCCCGGCCCATTAGTGTTTGAATAGGTGCGATCTCGGGTGCGATATCCTACGCAGGTGTGGAAGCTGCCTTCCTTCACATTCGATTGCCTTCAATGGATGGCAATCGATGTCCGTCGGTGATTGGCTCTAGATTGCGGAACAGAGACCAACGTTAAATAAAGGAAAGAAGAAGAAGAAAGTCACTATATTTAAAATGCGACTATACTTAATTCGAACAGTTCTTCTAGGTCCTCGAAAAAAGTATCCATTTTTTTACTTTAATTAAGAAATAGTAATGTGTTAGTTCAGTTTTTGGAAATCGCTGGGATAAAATCACACCAAAACTGCTTTACAAAGTGCTCCACTCCTGCCATTACACCATACTGTTTGAAACAATTGAAAACTTCACTTCTAGATAGAGCTGGAATTCGGGCCTAACAGCATTTGTAAAAAGAAAGATTTTCGCTATCCGATGGTTAAGTTGGTCTGCGTGGGAGCTCGCGTGGGAGTGCCTTGAATTCCTAGAAATCATCGATAGAAGTCATTGTTTACTAAAGCTGTTGCGCCCTAATTCCAGCTCTATCTAGACTTTTTCACTTGATGGAATATATCTCAGAGTAAAGGCCCACGCACATTAGATCCGGATCGGACGCGTTGCGGCAAAGTGAAAGCTAAATCTATTGTCTAACTGTCAAATTTACGTCAACGCAACGCAAACGGATCTAATGTGGGTGGCCCTTAAGAGAGTTTCTTAGAGTAACTCTAGCTTGCTCTAATTTTTTTTTCACTGTCCGCTCCCTCGGTGTAGCTCTCACAAACTCCGGCAAACAGTTCACACGGAAACCGCAAAATACTCAAAAATGACTATAAAGGACTCAATTTTTACTATAAAGTATGCATATTCGGCTAAAACGGGACTATACCTAAAATGTGTGTATTTTTTACACCTTTTACTCGACCTTTTATGAGTATCTGTTACTCATAAATGCATAAATTTTATTCATTATTGTACTAGTAATTACTCATAAATGTGTAAAATTTTACCGCACGTTGGACACCTCTTCGACCAGTGAACGGGTCATCAATTCCAGCTTGAGAAGGGTTCTTGACCGAAAGCAATTTTTTTTTTCGCAAAACCGGAATGAAAATTAACTTTTTTATACTGATTTTCTCGTTCTTGTTAGAAAAACCAGTTAGCTCTCCTTAGCATTGATCGATTTTCTTCGTCGACTTTCTCTTTCGGTAATAACTCGAGCCCACAACCTTTCCTTGTTGTGTTTGTTGTATTAGCTTCTAGATAAAAGCTTATTTTATCGATTTGTGTGCTGAAAATACCTGGGAATGTCTTAAAATGGTCGTGGGGATACAAAGAAAAAGTCGACGAAGAGAATCTGTCAATGTTACTTAGGACCTAATGCAATGTTCAGCTTGAATACAGTCTCTTTAGTTTTGCTGAGTACCACCCATATTCTTATTTTCGTTCGAACCGTATTTTGCATACCAAAAAACTTTTTTTTTTTGTCCGCTAAAAAAAATAACTCTAGTATGCGTGTTCGCGACGCGCGTGTCACGTTCATCAGACGAAGCCGAAGGGGCTTCGTCCTTTATTATTATTTTTCGAGAGGAACTCGCAATCCGCGAAGGATCACGCGGCGAACTTTCGGCGTGCGGTTATTCACAGACCAGACCGGAGGAAGGGGTTCGAATGCCTCACGGAGGATCCTAATCGAATTGGTAGGTTTCGACTGGCTTCGAGCTCGTCGTTCCAACAGCAGGAACCGATACCACTTGAAGCGAGATTCGCCTACTTTCGAACAGGATTCCTTAGGACTTGGCTGAGTGCTCTACGGTTGGGATATGGTTGGACGGTAGCTGCCCAGCTCAGATGGGGGCAGTAGCGCGATTCCAACAGATACACCAGCGGTAAACCTGATCAGCCTAGTCGGGGAGTGCCCAAACTCTGAAACGGGTTCCGACCAATAAAGGTGCTCGGCCGGTACTTGCCCAGCTCAGATGGGGGCAGTAGCGTCGATTCCGAGGAAACTCTTATTGGAAACGGATTACCGCGAGAGAGTTTGATAGGCTGGAGGCGAAGAGTGTTATTGAGGTGATATGTAGGAGTAAGGGTGGACCTGGCGACAAGTCCGTACACTTGGATAGGATAGTGAAAACTGAATATATTTTGGTTGTATCAAAACGCTTTTATAGCGTCCCTTAGACCTAAGTTTTGGGCGTCGGTGCCCACGTACGCATGTGCGTCTATCTTCCCGCACAGGGGTTCTAGACGCACTTTCTTCCTAATTCTAGATTTCCCTTGGTCACGCATCCTAGTAGGGGAACGTTTTCATTTTTAACTTTTATGACCCAAGTTCTCGCGCCTCGCTGGTGCATGTAAATTACTTTAAATCAATCCGCACCAGGCTTCCTGTTTACATTGGCCCGCTCCCCAGATCTAGCCTATAGCTTGGATGCGTACGCATGCATCGCTGCCTATCTAGGCCTAAGTGCATTTTTCCATTGATTTTGCTCTCTGCGGTGGAACCGTCGCTAGCTCGGTTTTATTGCCCTTTGTGTTTTTGGAAGGATGCCGAACGCAAGATTGTCCCTTGGGACGATTTCATTGCTTTCTATTAATGCTTCAACTATCCTTCCCAAGACTGGTTCTATTACGATAATTCGTTTATCTTGGCGTTGTTACGCATCTTTTTAGGGAACCAGATTTTATTACCTTTGCGCCAGGCTCGCATTGCCGGGCGCACCGAGCTCCATGCGACCGATTCATTACCATTCCATTCACATAGCACGCGGACTGCCTTGGCATCGAGCGTCTAATACACCGCAGCGCTGCACGCATTGCAGGGCTGCATATGGTTCACCGTGGAGCGAAGAAAGTGGAAAGTAAATGCGTACTGATTCTATATGCGTCAGCCAGATCTGGCGGTGTGGCATGTTTACTTCTCGTTTACGAGGCGTGAGTTAGGGTAGGTTTGGTCTTGACTTTGTGCTTCTTGCACCTCTCTTAGACAAATTTCTTGCTTTCGCTTATTTCCCGTACGAGGGCGGTGACCTATCGTGGGAACTTGAAAATGCATAATGAATTGCGATATTTTACGTTGCATCTGCAACAATGCGATTAAGTGTGTAGTAAAGCCTGTAGACTATTATCAACACTATTATCATAGAGGTAACTCTAAGACCACTGGGTCCCGAAGAAAATCATTATTATTTTTGGCTCACTCAGTACCAGAACAACGGTCCCAAGCAGTCCCAAGCTATTTCACTCACCCCTGCATGTTCTGCATGAATCCACACACCCCTGATGTTATCTGTCAAACTTTCATAGCGAATCAAAACAAACATAGTGTAGTAATAGAATTTCAACTAGAATAGGGTACGTTAATCGTTTGCTTGGGACCAATAGGCTACTAAAGTGGTGAGCCAATTTAAAATCGTTAGTTTCGTATTGATTGTTGCTATTATACTAGACCCTCTCTAGAGTAGAGCATACTTTACCTATTAGTGGAGGTGGAATATTTTTAGTATAAATGGGTATTTTTTACCCATTAAGGGTATTCGCCAAACACCGCAAAAATAGCAGCGAATAAATAATAATCATAATGGCGGTTGTTTTCGTTCAGTGTGGCACGTTTATGTCATTTGACGTTCTTTTTTTGTGTGCTGTCAAAATTCAATAATAATTGACTGAGGTGTGTGAGTTGATGAAATTACAGACAGATTTCTTAAAAAAAAATTAGATTATTTACGCTCTAATCCCATTTTATCCAAGCGGAACAATTAAACTTCTCAGTTGATAACGTTATTTTGTTGAGCTATTTCCCACAGAGCGGTGACCCCGCATTGGTTAGGACAAAGTTGTTATCTATGAACCAAGGTGCGAGCTTGGAAGTGTTTTTGTTAGCTGCAACTAAATGTTACACGAAGCAATAAATGATATGCGTGGGAGATTGTAAATCTTAGCTGTTTATTTTCCAGGCGCAATCGCATAATAGCATTGATTAGTCATTGATAAAATCCTTAAGGTGATCTGGAGGAAAACGTGTTAAATAATGGTGAAGCTATACGCCATCAGTGTGTTCTACAAGGCCCCCAATGAGGCTCGATTACTGAAGTCGGCATACGACCTGCAGAGTTTCTCATTTTTTCAAAGAGGTTCGGTACAGGAATTTATCAGGTAATAAACATTGGTTCCCTTGAAGGGTATCCCATATTATGTTACTTATTTCAGTTTTGCAAGCAAAACCCTCGTCGAGCGTACCCAAGCGGCTACACGTCAATCCGTAAAGCAGGACGTTTATATGTGCCACGTATATGTCCGAGCGGACAACCTGGGCGCTGTGCTAATCTCAGACCACGAATATCCCCATCGGGTGGCTCATACCCTGTTGACCAAAATTCTGGACGATTTCAACGCCAAGGTGGTTAAAGATCAGTGGCCTTCTGGAAGTGAATCTTCAATTGATTTTACTACACTGCCCGCAACGCTCAGTAAGTACCAGGATCCACGGGAAGCCGATGCTCTCACAAAAATGCAGGAAGATCTGGATGAAACGAAGATTATCCTTCGAAATACGATAGAAGCTGTGCTGGAGCGCGGGGAAAAGTTGGACGACCTGGTGTACAAATCCGAATCGCTTTCGATACAGAGCAAAGCGTTTTACAAGACGGCTAAGAAGACCAATTCTTGTTGCAACTTTGGCTAAGTTCGCTTGAAGGCAATCATGCAGTCAAGAAAATTTCAACCCACCAAAATATTGAACACAAAGAAAATATCTCTTTTGGTTAGGTTGTTGGAATTCTGGAATTATTTGGCAGTGGAAAGCATTCTCAAGATTGAACTGTATTATTTGTGCTAGACAAATCTTAATTAAACAACAACATTTTACTATTAGTTTTACCGAATACGACGCAAGATTATGTTATGTTTCTTGAGTTGAACTGCGAAAAATATTATATTGTTTGTCAATGTTTCCCAATACTCCATTTTTTGTCATTTGAACATCACCATGAAATATTGTCATGGATAATTGGCTTTAGTTCAAATGTTTCAAATAAGAAGAGAAGTAGACCGTTTTTTCTAGGTTCAACGTTTTTCTTTTAGGTTATCTAATTTGTTATATTTTTAAAAGATACGCGAAATCAAACATGCATAAATAAAGCATAATGGGTTAACATCATTGTAGTAGTATATACGTGAATACTGCTACAAACACTGACGTGAAATTATCACTATTCCGTCATTTATTGGAAACTATAACAAAAAGCTTGTGCGTTATGTGATTACATACTGCTGGTCGTAACAAGTGGGATAAGTGGAGGAACGAACATATACATACATATACCTAAACAAATAATAACGATAAAGCTATTAATGATGTTTTGAAAAAGTTGCTGTTCACATATTGAGCATTCTACTACGGCATTACTGGCATTATGGAGCCTTGCAGGTCGGAAGTAAATAAAATAGCCTCTCGCCATGGATGGTGTTCTTGTTGCTTCTTTACTTATCACTTTCTAGTATTAAACATCTTTCTTGCTCATATGCATGTCTAATCAAATCCCTAATTTAAAGCTAAAAAAAGTAAAAGACAAATGTTCAATAATTGCCAATTGTTTAGAGAAAAGTCTGAACCCTGATCCAAATAACTAGCGTTCACTCAGAGTGAGCGCTCGTGTTTCGTAGAATCGTTCATTGTGACTATATACAAGCGAGGGTTTGTATGTCGGACACTTGCCTTTTGGTCTCTTCTTGTGTCTAATAGCGAATTCGTTTATTATTCAGTTCCAACCTGGATCGGGTATCAAGATTGGGTCTGCTTGTTTTCTGACAAACGCCAGTTTGATCGTTTGTTTTTAAAACCCAGCTCAGGTTGAGGTTCGCACTGACAAAAAGTTCGGGTTCGCACTGGGTTGGAACTGGTTCCAACCCCGATAATAAACGAATTCGCTATAACATGTACTTACAGGTATAGCATCTGATGGTTTCAGGATTCCGGGGATCATCTTTTGTGGTGAATGAGTGGAAGCAGGCCTGGTTGCGTGAAATACATTTGGGAGAATATCTTTTTGAGATTTTAGTAGTCACGTTTTGTTTGTAGTTTATATTTTATTACTTTCATATACTGCCTTTATACGCATAACTGTCCCATGTTCTATGCAATCCTTATGCACCGTGGGACTCTTATGCGTATAACGGCAGTATAATTATCGTAAATAATAGTTATTCAATAATAGATCATTCATCCATATATTCAATAATAAATTTACGAATGACTATATTTTGGATACCTAACAATTGGACAGAATCAGTAGCAAGAATAGGTTGCAGAATGTTCGCCTTCGAAAATATCGATACGTTTTTCAGGGTTGTAGTTTTGGTTTCCAGGTTTTGGGTTGTCAGGGTTCTAGTTTTGGTTTTTGGTTCAACCACAAAAGACATTGGCGGATTCTGGTTCGGAATGACAGGTTGCTATTTTGAGCAACTTATCGTCGTAAAATTATAAATTATATTAAGGTATTAGTCAACAAATGTGGATAGTAAGTTAGACATGTTATGGTATGAACTTTTGCTATCATTATTAACAGGTAAATTTTAATTTTTTTAGATTACTACATTATACTGTTAACACTCTCACTCAATTCAATAAGGCATATTTAATTGACCTGCATTGGGTTATTATTTTGCATGCAATGATATGGGAAAAGGGGGGACTCCCGATTCTGCATGGAGAGTGTATGGGAGCCGTTCTAGGGTTTGGTTGGGGCATGTGATTCATTTTAGACATTATAGTTTGACGTGATAACCATATTCCACTCACGTTCTGGAATGTGGCCTTGAGACTTGAGATCTGGCCTTTATAAGACCCCCTTCTGTCTCTCAAAATCAAAATCAATAATCAAAACTAACAAAAACACGCAATAGGACTATCAATTTCTGAAATTTAATTTCTCGCATGAAAGGCAACATATAGAACAACTCGCCCTATGAACTCAATAAAACCGGTATGATTTACGATTTGAGGATTGCTTAACTGCAACCAGGTCCCAGGGCTTGTCTGCATCTCTACATTTTGAAAGATGCACATTAGTGATGCCAGTTGTGATGTAGCGGACCAAAAGTTTGTTGGAATTTAACTACAAACCAAAATTAAATAATTGTGTAGTATTGAATTATGATTTTAACTATGAATTGTTTTTTCTAAATTATTGAGTCTAATGGCTGCAATTTTATTTTAGTTCAACACTTTTGGAATGCGACATCACACAGGTACTCCCTTTGAATTTGGCTTGATCGAGTGACGTTTTTCTTTTCTTTAGATCAAGAAGATGAAGTTTTGAAGAAGACAACGATCATAAATCACAGAATAGAAAAAAAGTTGGTCGCCTTGTGAGACTTAGGTTAAGAAAATCTTTAATGTTTATTAAAAATTAAATTAATTAAAATATCGCGTCATATAAGAAACCAATGAGCCGGCGCCGGTGGTGTAGTGGTAAGCGTGACTGCTTTCTAACACCCCAATGGGTCTGGGTTCAATCCCAGCCGAGGTCGGTGGGATTTTTCTGAGGCATAAAAATCTCTGGTCACGTCTTCCTTCGGAAGGGAAGTAAAGCCGTTGGTCCCGGCCCATGTGTGTTGTGAATGGGTGCGATATCCTACGCAGGTGTGGAAGCTGCCTTCCTGCACATTCGATTGCCGTCAATGGATGGCAATCGATGTCCGTCGGTGATTGGCACTAGATTGCGGAACAGAGGAATAAAGGAAAAGAAAAGAAGAAACCAATGACCATTTATAAAGGTGCTGAAGGGATATCAATGATAAGTAATAAGAAAGAAACTATTGATAGACCTTATTTTCTGATTCAGAAATCTTATAACAATTTTGACATTTTGAGCTAGTTTAACATTTTTCGAATATTTGCTCTAGAGAAAAGTATTTTGTTCGACATAAATCAAATATAGTTGAAGTAGTTTATTAAAAAAAAGTTCAATAAGTTGATTTTTAAGCGGGTGGCCACATTGCCCCACTTTCCCCTACATAGAACATCGACCAAAGGAGGCATCGACTTGTGGAAATATCGACTTAGAGTACGAGTACACGGTAAGAAAAAAGTACCTAACGGCCATACCACAGACAAACAGACATAACACATTGAATATTTCTCAATGTAAAACATCGTCGCTAAAACATTACCGCCATCTGTTGAACACAGTGTGGTGGGTAGTACGCTGAACAGATGGCGGTAGTGTGTAAACGTCAAACGCAAGGGAATTTACTATGCGCGCCACAGGTGGCGGTGCTACCAACTAAGTTACTATTAAATTGACCGTTAAATGCTTGTTCGATGAACAACTTGCGACTGTTATGTCTGTTTGTCTGTGGCCATACTTTTACCTACTATTGACTAGTTTGTCTCCTTTTCTTCTGCTAATGTTGTCAAAAACGGAGAAGCAAAACCACCCAACAGGGGTAGTTCAGTGTGGGAATCCAACGTTGAGTATAATCATATTTACCTACTTTTGGGTACAACTAACTTACTTTTGGGTAGAAAGCGAGTGGAAAATTCCATACGAATTGCACACAAGTAAATGAAAACCGCTTTATACCTTGTACAGACATACAAAGTTCACTGTTGTACATGGTTGTACCAACAATCAATACGAAACTAACGATTTTAAATTGACTCACCACTTTAGTAGCCTATTGGTCCCAAGCAAACGATTAACGTACCTTATTCTAGTTGAAATTCTATTACTACACTATGTTTGTTTTGATTCGCTATGAAAGTTTGACAGATAACATCAGGGGTGTGTGGATTCATGCAGAACATGCAGGGGTGAGTGAAATAGCTTAGGACTGCTTGGGACCGTTGTTCTGGTACTGAGTGAGCCAAAAATAATAATGATTTTCTTCGGGACCCAGTGGTCTTAGAGTTACCTCTATGGTTGTACCAACAATCAATACGAAACTAACGATTTTAAATTGGCTCACCACTTTAGTAGCCTATTGGTCCCAAGCAAACGATTAACGTACCCTATTCTAGTTGAAATTCTATTACTACACTATGTTTGTTTTGATTCGCTATGAAAGTTTGACAGATAACATCAGGGGTGTGTGGATTCATGCAGAACATGCAGGGGTGAGTGAAACAGCTTGGGACTGCTTGGGACCGTTGCTCTGGTATTGAGTGAGCCAAAAATAATAATGATTTTCTTCGGGACCCAGTGGTCTTAGAGTTACCTCTATGGTTGTACTACCGTTTTACTGCTTTAAGCTAGTACCACAAATTGTACTTTTTGAGGTACTAGATTAAAGGAGTACAACACAACGGTACTAACTTAGAGGTAACACTAAGCCCAGAAGGTCCCGAAGAATCGAATTCAAATTTTTGGCTCAGCTCTGGTACTATCTTCGGTCCAAAGTTAACCGATGCAAAGTTAACCGAAACATAGGAAAATCCACGAACCCCTCATTTTATCTGTCAAAGTTTCAAAGCGAATCAAAACAAACATTGTGTAGTACTAGAATTTCGACTAGAATGGGGCACGTTAATCGATTTGCTTGGGACCAATACTGCCCATAATCGCATATCAGTCCCATATGGATAGGAAATCAAGCAAAGATGGGACTGATATGCGATTATGGGTAGAATAGGCAAGTCGCATTTCAACCTTATTGCATATCGCATATTAGCTTATTGCGTGCTCCCAACTTAGTGTTCTAGATGCACTTCAACAGTTATTAATTGAGAGCTTTCGATGCCTGTACCATTTTTGCATTGGTATAATTGTGTGGCAAGTCCAATCATACTTCTATGCCCAGGGAAGTCGAGAAATTTTCCAACCCGAAAAATTCCTAGACCGGACCGGGAATTGAACCCAGCCACCTCCAGCATGGTCTTGCTTTGTAGCTGCGCCTTTACCGACTGAGCTAAGGGAGGCCCCTTTATTGTTGCTTATTATTTTAATAGAAATTTTCCCTTCTTTCAAACATAAGCTGTTTTTTTTAATCATTATTGGAGCTGGCGTAGCATTAGTGATTGTGTATTGTTGTTTTACATCAACAGGCTGGATGAAGCTCCAATGATGTTAATGTTATCAACTATAGTAAAAAACGTACATTCGAGCATGGTCATAACATAAAAAAAACATTCATCTTACATATAGTCAGTTACTCCTGCCGTCGAAAAACGGAAGAAAACTTTCGACGAAGCGCATCACGGGTGAGATGAAAGTAGAAGACAGATGCAACTCTGTTGAACAATCTCTGCAACCAGCAAATCGCACCGTATGATCCATAATATGTGCGACTTAGATGTAACCTTAGCATGAGGTTGTTACGAAGCGGTCGGGGTTGAACATTCAGGTCAATTTGCCTCAAGATAGCTTCGCAATCTGTCCTTCCCTGCAGATATCGGCGACGGTTAGGTCTCTGCTTGTGTCCGTTCTAGTCCGGAGAGGTTCTAGGTCGATAAGTTGACATTGGCTTTCGTAACTGGGTAATCGAAACGGTGCATTACAAGGCAATCTACGTTGCGCAAAACGAAGAAGGCGACGTTGAACAGATTCGATTCTCTCGGCAGCGTTGTTGTACTGTGCGCTGAACAATACTCAAGCGTCAAATCGAACAAGTGAACAATAGATGCTGTAAAAAATGTTATATTCTCCTTAAAAGACATTGAAACTATCTGCAGATTCAGAATCCAGTAATTTCTTGATCAATTTTCCCTTTTGATAACACATTGCGTGCAATTTCCTAGCGGAATCAACTCACTTGAACTGCGAAATTAACGTCCAAAATCTGGTCGATGCCGGACTTGCTCTATTCGATGTCAAGTCAATTGAACGCCGACTATCAGATCGGGGGTGAGTAGAATTCAACTCACTTGCCTTGGCTTAAACGGGAATATGAGTGATTGACTTAAGAGGAAGTCTATGAAGAGATTCGATCAATGCAGATAGAACCTTTTAAAATATTCATCTAGAAAATTTATCAATAAAAAAAAGAAACTCTTCATTAATTCATGTTCGATATTTCGGACAGTTTCAGCTAATTAAAATCTTGTCTCTTTTTTGCTGATTTTAAGTTTCATTTAAACATAGACCACAATTTATCGCTTATAAAACCGGTCCGCGACTTTAGCCGCCCAAAGCTCAGGATGGGCCACCTTTTTGTGGGTGTACATGTTCGAACTCGAATTACACGTTCGTGGACAGTATGGGCACGAATACAGGACCTCCCCGCGGTGGTTCGCCTCGTGCTCCTTCAACCGCAAAATACGCTTAAATTGTTTACCACAGTAACTGCAAGCAAATGACGGCCGTTCCTCGTGGTTGAACCGCTTATGGCTGGCTAAGGCTAGCTCGTTTACCGCTTCTTTTCCACAAATATCGCACGTAACCGGACCACCGGCTAGACATCGCTTTAGATGATTCATGTACGTATCCTTATTCTTGAGCCACTTCTTACAGTGTTCGCACTGCTTCTTCAAACTTGCTGCTCCTTCTTCCGAGTGCGAAAGACGATGGTTCTCCAGAAGTGATTTATGGACGAACCCTTTGGCACATATGTCACATACCCAACTAGAAGCGGCTCCGTGTATGTTTTGCTGGTGAGCCCGCAGGAGGACGGCAGTACCAAATCTGAAGAAGGAATCTTAACATTACTAAAAATACGCTACCTAGGCCTAGATACTGACGATTTATCACAATCTTTGCAGTTGAAGATTTTCTGCTCCATAGAAATGTGATACTTCATATGGTTTCGTAGCAAATAGTCCTTGTAGAAGGCAGCATCGCATATCTCACATTTGAAGGGCTTTTCCGAGTCCGGCGTGTGCACCCATTTGTTATGTTTCTCCAATCCGTCGCTCTCGGTGAAAGACTTGTTGCAAAGCTTTCGAAATTAAAAATATAATAGTTATGTTATCATCAACCGTAAGAAATGACTGGAATTCCAGCACAACTCACCTCACAACGGAACATATCCGGATTGATGTGCCGCTGGCAGTGTTCGAACAACCTTCGCTTCTTGCAAAACTTGCGCCCACAGCAGACAGCGTACCCGCGCATGTCGTGCTCGGTTTTGTAATGTTTCTCCAGTTGATAGTAGCTTTTACCAACAAATTCACACTTTTCGCATATGAGAGTACAAAACCGTCGTATGATTTCATCCTGTTCGGCGATTTCTCCAGCGGTTTTCAGTGTTTTCCTAGGTGGCGCGGATACAACACGTGACGTTGGCGAAGAATACTCTGGAATTGTTGTAGCTGGCGGATGTTCTGTACTAGTAATTATCGGCTCCGGAATGTTTGAGTCAGCGGTAATCTTCGTCTCACAATCCACCGTTGTGGCTGGCGTTGAAAAGATTACCATCGTTTCTGAATGATGCGCTCGCATGTGAGTGTTTAATGTACGGACTGAATTAAAATATTTGTTACATTTATCACAATAAATATTCAAACTCTCTACATTTTGATGCCAATTTTTGTGACCGGAGAGTTGCCACTCGCTAGCAAAAGCCTTCTCGCATTGATCACACTTGTACTTTTTCTCCGACTCAATCGTATGGCATACCACTTTGTGCAATTGCAAACCCTCTTCATCCTTAAAACTTCTCACTGGTTCACACAATTCACACTGGAATGGCGAATCATCCTTATCGTGACTGCCGGATTCATGTTTGCACACGTGCTCAAACAAACTAGATTTCTTTTGAAAGCTACGTTCACAACATGTAACGTAACCCTGTATGTGATGTATTTTTCTATAGTGCAACAATAATCGAGAAAATGTTGTTGATCTATGATCACATGCATCACATTTAAGTTGGACATATGTTGCTATTAATTCATTCCGTTCGAGATTCATCTTTCTCTGAGAGTTAACATGTCGCTTTTTACGAATCGGTTCGCTACTAAACTTAGTTGAAGATTTCCGTCTAGTAGATCTACATCTCTCAGCTATGGGAACAGTTGAATTCTCTTCTGAATCGTCAGACGTTCCTGACTCGTTCTTGACCTAAAATAAAAACTAATATAACATCCAATTTCAGAAAATAATCAAGACTAGATACCTCAGCATCCAATCCATCCATACTAATTCGACCCTCTATTTCATCCTGATCATTAAGATTCTCACAATTTACGTCATCATCCGAATCCTCATTACTTTGTATCTCAAAACTCTGTTTCATTGGAACATCCTCTGTTTTGAGCAATTCACACGCAAACAGTTGCTGTTGATGTTCGTTTTCATCAAACAGTTGTTCCGTCTTGATGACGGCTTCCAACAAATGCTCCCGATCCCAAAGCTGTTCAACTTCACAGTAGAATTTGTGGAAATCTTCAATCTTCTCCCAACAGCTGGTACAAAGGACCCGATGTTCATACTCGTTGACCTTTTTGATAGAAGAAACGAAATGTGCTGCTCTCATTACATGATCACTTCGAGAATTCAAATTCAATACTAACCTTGAACCAAAAGTGCCTTCTGAGGATAGCCTCGACATCCTCTACACTGGTTTCGTCCGTTATTCGAAGGTAATTTTCAGTTTTTCTCTGGCAAGTCAAGCAGTCTTCCAGCGTTTCGGTCATTTTTGTTTTGTTTTGACTGCCTAAAAGTGCATCCGATGCATTCGGATATAAACAAATTCTGACATTTTAGGCAGTGTTGCCATGTCCTGTAGGTTCATGGATCTCAGAGGATCTCAGTGGCTGCATGTATACACGGAGAAGCGAAACAACTCAGAATCGAAATTGAAAGTACTTAAAAATAAGTATTTATCCAACACTATGCTGTTTTGGATACATTTCTGTTCTCATTGATGAGCTCTTTTAACTTAATCTTGCAGTATAATCAAAACAGCTACTTTTACTTTGAAAGTATCCAAATTGCGCAAATTGCGATTGTACTTCGTTTTGGATGAAAAATCGCGACGAGTGCCAGTTTTATTTCGGCTATGTCTCCTGCCGAGAACAAAATTTTACCAACAATCAATACGAAACTAACGATATTAAATTGGCTCACTACTTGACTAGCCTATTGGTCCCAAGCAATTCGATTACGTACCCCATTCTAGTCAAAATTCTAGTACTACAGTATGTTTGTTTTGATTCGCTATGAAAGTTTGACAGATAAAGTGAGGGGTTAGTGGATTTTCCTATGTTTCGAGGGGTGAATCGATTAGCTTGGGACCAAAGAAAGTACCAGAGCTGAGCCAAAAAGTTGAGCACGCTTCTTCAGGTCCTTCTGGTCTTACCTCTATGATTTTACCCGTTCCGAATTTTAACATCGGAGTTGCGTACCATAACTAGTTAAATTCACGTACTAGTTTACTGTTCCGGAGAGGAAAAAGGTAAGTTCTACATGGTTCTACCATAGAGGTAACTCTAAGACCACTGGGTTCCGAAGAAAATCATTATTATTTTTGGCTCACTCAGTACCAGAACAACGGTCCCAAGCAGTCCCAAGCTATTTCATTCACCCCTGCATGTTCTGCATGAATCCACACACCCCTGATGTTATCTGTCAAACTTTCATAGCGAATCAAAACAAACATAGTGTAGTAATAGAATTTCAACTAGAATAGGGTACGTTAATCGTTTGCTTGGGACCAATAGGCTACTAAAGTGGTGAGCTAATTTAAAATCGTTAGTTTCGTATTGATTGTTGGTTCTACTAAACAATACGTGATAGATTTCCCGAAAAGTGGCAGTAATAACAACAATCAACGATTTTAAATTGGCTCACCACTTTAGTAGCCTATTGGTCCCAAGCAAACGATTAACGTACCCTATTCTAGTTGAAATTCTATTACTACACTATGTTTGTTTTGATTCGCTATGAAAGTTTGACAGATAACATCAGGGGTGTGTGGATTCATGCAGAACATGCAGGGGTGAGTGAAATAGCTTGGGACTGCTTGGGACCGTTGTTCTGGTACTGAGTGAGCCAAAAATAATAATGATTTTCTTCGGGACCTACTAGTCTTAGAGTTACCTCTATGGTAATAATCCTCGAATTAAACATAATTCCTTCTTAAACACCGTGCCAAAAGCACGTAAAAATTCCATAAGAATCACTTATGAGTATTAGCCACAAGAAATCGATATGAATCCCATAGATTTGCCTCATGAAAAATAATGTCGACATAAAAATAATTAAACGGAGCAGAATGGTTTCGGTTCCATGGACGTTGAGATTACAGGTCTTGTGTCTGGATCACTCGTCTTTCAGCGCTTGGGTAAATGGAATGGCTAAAGGCGTATAAGAGCTACCTTATGTTAGACGAAAATCCTTCATAAGTCACACTTATGAAATTCATATGTGTTGTTCATAAGTCGAGCCTTATGAAATTCTTAAAGCCCAAACGCAATATGGGCGGAAGCGGAACGGAAACGGAAAGTTTGACAGTTGGCACAAATGACATCAAGATGCCTAACCGAAGTCGATTTGGTTCTAACTAGTTTTCAATCCGGCTTTTCCGCTTGCCGCTTTTTCTTTTGAATAATAGGGCGTCATATGACTGGATCACCCAGACAACCAGAATACATATATTGCAAAGATAACCGTGAAAAATTAATGTAAATTTTTGCGATACATAGCGCACACGTTGTTAACGCTAGATTTAGCGTAAAATACCATATTTCGGGTAAATTTAAGCGAGATTTTGCTTAAACCAGCAGTAATTCATACAAGCTTGTAGACAGTTTCGCTGTTGATGCCGACTTTAGCTTAAAATATTATACGAAAGTAAATATCACCCGAATTTTTTCTGTGTTGTTTTTTATAATACAAACAGCAATCCTAACGACTGCGCCATTGTCGTGACCCGTTTCCAGCCTCGGTCGTATGTCTCAACAAATAGCTAGCCGTTAATCGCCTGCTACGGCCGCTACGCTTCCATTACTGCGTGAACGAGCAACGCAGGGAATCCGGGCTCCCATCGTCTATGGAATTCAACTGAGAAGTTGCTGGCACTGTTCAGGATATATGCCACCTTTTTTCCGAAAAGTTTGCCAGTGTATTCACTAATGAGATACTAACTGACGACCATATTAACCTGGCTGCCAGGAACGTTCCAGTAAACGACCAAACGCTGGGTGCAATTGATGTTAATGCAGAAATGATTTCTAAGGCCGGGAATCTGCTCAAGTCATCCTTCAATCCTGGACCTGATGGAGTTCCATCTGTATTTTTGAAGAGCCATATTGCTAACTTGTTAATTCCGCTTCTTCGCCTGTTTCGAATGTCTCTCTCAGGTGGCATATTTCCATCTTGCTGGAAATTTGCGCACATGTTTCCCGTCCACAAAAAAGGAAGGAAACGAGCTGTGGATAACTATCGAGCAATTACATCGTTAAGTGCCGTTTCGAAGCTATTCGACACGGACAGAAAATTGTTTGTATTGAACCAAAAAAATCTTTAATTGTATTTAAGCAAACAATTCCAGTTGAAATTATATTGCTTTTTGTTGTTTCAATAATACTTATTCATATAAATTCAAAATAGGATTCTTTTTGTTTTAATCAGCCACTTTTCAAATGCAACTATTGTAAAAATAACAATATTCTATTATTAAGCCAACAATAGTTAATTTTAATTTAGCATTTATTTGCTGTGTCCATTCTCTGGGCCATTAAAGCAAAAATAAATAAATACCAACCATTCCCTCGTTTTCACCCGAACAAAAATGTAAACAATAACAATACTTACGCGTTCCACGTAAGTATTGTTTTTAATTGTAAATTTCGGGAAATAAGTGCAAGATTTTCGAAAATCTTGAGACTTGAGTTAAGTAAGTATGCTGCAATTCGAGCTGCAGGTAATAAATATAATCAATTTTTCTGTTTTTTTTCCTTTATTTTTTTCCGTCGATCTTGTTTTCCGTACTGAGTACCAATGCTCCCGACGCCAGGAAGGCAGCTCCCACATCTGGACCCTACATATCGACCCATCAACTCATGAACCGGGGGCAGAAATTCAATTACAATTTCTGCAATTTTGTTTCAAAATGAAAACGAAACATAAAAAAAATTGCCATATTATTTTTACATCAATAAACACATTTTTATTTCTACTGCGTGAATTGTCAGATTGAATCAACAAGAAATCTCTTTTAAAAACAAACATATTTTTGTTGTTAACCCAGCTGCCAAATTTGACAGCTTACGTCAAAACCATGAAAGCTCTTGTAAATTCTAAAAGATTTTCTTTTTGATTTAACAATCCATGGGTTTTTAGAAACAAAAATACTGGATTGTTGAAACAATTATGATTTCTTTTTGCAGCCAAAACAAAATGAATTTCTTATTGATTTTACGTCAAATATTATTACGTTTAAAATATTTTTTTCTGCGTGGAGCTAGTGATTATGGAAGCGTTGCTGTCCCATTGCAAGCAGTATTTGAGTGCTGATCAACATAGGTTTACTGTTGGCCGCTCTACAACCACCAATCTGCTGTGTCTCACATCGTATATAACCGAAAGCATATGGGATCGGGTTCTAACGGACGTTATTTATTCAGACCTATCAGCAGCATTCGACAAGTTGAACCATGCTATTGCGATTGCTAAACTCGGCAGACTCGGCGTATGCGGTAATCTTCTGAGTTGGTTTTGATCATATCTTACCGGTCGGCAACTAAAGGTTGCCATAGGAGATTGCAGATCAGCTACCGTCTTCGCCACATCAGGTATACCTCAGGGAAGCCACATGGGACCGTTAATTGTTATACTGTATTTCAACGACGTGCATCTGGTCATCGATGCTCCTCAGTTATCATATGCAGTGCAGATGACCTCAAAATCTTCCTACGAATCTGCTCCATTGCTGACTGTCATTTTCTTCAACGTCAACTGAATGTATTCGCTAGTTGGTGCAGGTTAAACAGAATGGTAGTGAACCCAGCCAAATGCTCTGCTATTACGTTCTCACGAAAAAAAAAACAACCGATAATATTTAGCTATGACCTGCTTGGCTCGACAATCGAACGCGTGAATCAGGTGAAAGACTTGGGTGTGATCTTGGATTCGCAGCTTTCATTCAAGCAATACATTGCATATGTTGTTGATAAGGCGTCAAGAACTTCAGGGTTCATTTTTAGGATAGCTAAAAACTTCACTGATATCTACTGTCTAAAATCTCTCTATTGTTCGCTTGTACGATCGACGCTTGAGTATTGTTCAGCGGTTTGGAACCCAAACTACAACAACGGTGCCGAGAGAATTGAATCTGTTCAACGTCGTTTTCTTCGTTTTGCGTTGCGTAGATTGCCTTGGAATGATCCGTTTCGATTACCCAGTTACGAAAGTCGTTGTCAACTTATCGACCTAGAACTTCTCCGGACTAGAAGAGACACAAGAAGAGCCTTAACCGTGGCCGATATCATGCAAGGAAGGACAGATTGCGAGGCTATCCTGAGGCAAATTGACCTGAATGTTCAACCCCGACCGCTTCGTAATAACCTTATGCTAAGACTGCCTCTACGTCACACCAATTATGGAGTATACGGTGCGATTTGCGGACTGCAGAGAACATTCAACAAAGTTGCATCTGTTTTCGACTTTCATCTCTCCCGTGATACGCTTCGTCGAAAGTTTTCTTCTGTTTCTCGCCGGCACGAGTAAAGGCCCAAGCGCAATGACGGCGGAAGCGGAACGGCAACGGCAGCGAAAAAGCCCGATCTGAGTAAGCCTACTTGTCGGATTGATAACTAGTTAGATCCAAATCGACTTCGGTTAGGCATCTTGATGTCATTAGTGACAACTGTCAAACTTTCCGTTTCCGTTCCGCTTCCGCCCACATTGCGTTTGGGCCTTAACTGATTATAAGATATATGTTTTTTAATGTTTTTTATCTTATGACCATGCTTGAATGTATTTTTCTGTTTTACCATAGTTGATAAGGTTAACATCATTGGGGCTTCATCCAGCCTGTTGATGTAAAACAACAATAAAACAATAAAACAATAAAATTGCTGCTGTTGTTACTGCTGCTGCTGCTGCTGATATCCGTCGCTTCCAAAGTTCGTTACAAGAATGTCTTCAACAATTTTTTTTTCCTTTGGTTTGTTTTTTTCCGTCGATCTTGTTTTCCGTGCTGAGCACCAATGCTATCGACGTGCCAGGAAGGCAGCTCCCACACCTGGACCCTACCTATCGACCCATCAACTCATGAACCGGGGACCAACGGCTTTACTTCCCATCCGAAGGATGGCGTGATCAGAGATGTTATGCCTCAGAACATCCCGGCGGCGCCGACTGGGATTGAACCCAGGCCTGCTGGGGTGAGAGGTAATCACACTTACCACTACACCACCGGCGCCGTTAGTCTTCAACAAGTATAGGTATAGCTCATATTTATACCATCCGTTTTTTCCCTCATTTATCCAGCACTGCTTGCTGTGTAAGAATTTTCCCTCACATCTGTCATGCTTCACGCTAATTTAGCTCGACTCAAATGGAGTGTTTCATTACTTGACGCAACTCTCAAGCTTTTGTTTTATTTATTTTATTATTATTAAATATTATTCCACATAAACCTTATCTACCACACAAATGAGATGCCTAATTTATGTACAAATATAAAAATATAATGCTCGATGTAATGCTTAAAAACATTTGTTTAACTGATACTATATTTCACTGAATGAATAACAAACAACTAAAAGCCAGTTGACAAGTTTTAACTTCATAATATTGATGTTGCTGATTGCAACTGCCCCAAAAATTCAAAAAATGTTTGTTTCCGTCGTATCGTTTTGGTGTCTTCTCTTCAGTGTTTGCATCATAAGGAATAAACGCACCAAAGACACTGAGCCGATTAGACGGAAACTCGCAATATTAGCGCTATTATCACACTTTTTAATGAGTGAAACGCGCGCATTTCCCAACTAACAATTTTAGCTGCAGATTAGCTTATACAGCCGAAAATTGGCTTATACAGCTAATTTTTGCCTGTATAAGCTAGTCTGCAGCTAAAATTGTTTGTTGGGTTGTCCAGTTGGTGTGAAATGTACAATTAGTTAAGGTGAAATAAGAATATCCAGTTAAATAAATACTATATGAGATGACCGTCGTTTAATTTCGATTTTAGCTATTCAAACTTACGTTGTTCTACGGTAGAAGAGACTTTTTTGTTTAAATGGTATGCGGTTTTCTTTTGAATTTGGCATCATTTTTAATGCCCTATCAGCGAAAATGCTGACTTGTTGACACGCATGCACTCAAAAGGCACTCATTCACTCAAATTGCTGACCGAACGAAGCGACGCGCGGGCAAACTGGGTGACGCCACTTGACAGGTTGATGGGTGACTGATAGAGGAAAATTTTCTCCCTGTCTTGGATGCCACAAACAAGTGACTCGTGAGTGTGACTCTCGTTTAATAGTGGAAAATAGTGCAAAAGTGATCAATTATCGCCGGAAAATAGTGAAAAAGTGTACCCGAGTGGGTGGGGAACAATTCATAACAATTTTCGGTAAGTTCAAATCATTGGTTAGCACCGAAAACTGAAGTTGAAAATTGTGCTTACGCCAGCCATAGCACAGGATTGTAGCCAGCTATTTCGATCTCTTCGTTTCCACTTCCTCCCCTGTACGCGCGTTCCGCTCTCTTCCCCTCTCCTCGTGTCTAAATTTGGAGTGCCGTTGCCAGGGTTGCCAAAACTACAAATTTTTAACCAATCAAAAACAACAGATTTTTAGGTTCACCATAGATTATACAAAAAGGCTACTACACAGCAAAAAAAGTTGTTGAATATTACATCGAAACTGCTGCAACCAGGTCAATCAATCGGATGTGTAATATCACATTGTACGATGTACATCGATTCTGCGAACAAAATTACATCCATTGATGTAATATTGTATCTGCTTTTTGCTATTACATCATTATTTCATACATCAGCTTGAATTACGTTGATCGATATTACATTTTTTTTTGCTGTGTAGCTACTGACTTAGTCTTCTATTGTTGAAATAGTTCGCTTCAGTATAATTTTCGAATAACATACTTTTATCCACTCTAATCAAATTGTTATGGTTATTTTGCTTAACGACGTTTTCAGGTATCCAATCCATCGTGGAATAGTTATATTATTTGGGTTATCGTACGTTTATGGTTATTTTTTATTAGGGCATCTATTTTTAAAAAAATCATGTAAACTTTCAGATACGTCTTTTGCAAGGAAAATACAATTTTCTTATATTTATTTGCATAGTGCAATAAAAAACTGTGATCATTTTTTTTAAGAATATTTTTATTGGGCTTAGGCGGAACGATTAGGCTTTAAAAAAAACGAAGATAAAAATATTGTTTGATTTCAATTTGGCAACCCTGGCCGTTACTCGTTGATGGTGAACGGAAGGGAGTTCCACGACATCGCATTTGCGTTTGCTCGCTGTGAGTGGACTCCATCTTGAGTTTCATTCGTTCTCGTGAACCAAAGTAATTTTGTTATGTGCGTGTGGGATATAGCATGAGTGTTGGGATTGGACCGTGCTGGTAGAGCTTTTCTCAAATTGCGACGAAAAAGAGCGACTTTTGTTGTGAATTCGTGATAAAATTGGGTGGCTTCGATATTTGAAAGAGTTCTCTATCGAATTCATTTTACTTAGGTGGTTATGTTTATAATTTTGAATCATTAGTATCTGTAGTATCGGTGCCGTTATTTTCTGTAAGTATCTACCTTACATTATTTCCTTTGTCAGTTATGTCTTTCTGATCTGAGAAAGTATCAGTTTTATTCAGTACCTTTATATCATTGACCGACAAGATTGTAGTACCGTGGTACTCCTTTAATCTAGTACGTCGATTGTGGTACTGGACTAAAGGAGTACGGTACAACGGTATTACAATCATATTTGTCATAGGCATTACTTAAATACAGTGGGATAAGTGTTATCGATTTTATATTGGTATGTATTGACTCGACGACATCAGCGCAATTTTGTACTAAGGGAAATTGCCTAATGTTGTCCTATGGATCTAAGATTGGGCCCATCGCTTGACCAGTTCACTTTTACCTACTTTTGACTAGTTGGTCTCCTTTTCTCCTTCTAATGTTGTCAAAAACGGAGGAGCAAAACCACCCAACAGGGGTAGTAAAGTGTGGAAACCCAACGTTGAGTATAATCATATTTACCTACTTTTGGGTACAACTAACCTACTTTTGGGTAGAAAGCGAGTGGAAAATTCCATACGAATTGCACACAAGTAAATGAAAACTACATTAAACCACTTTGCCTACTCTTGGTTCCTGCACTAGAGTGCCGAGATGAGTGAAAAGAACTTACTTTTGGGTACTTTTTTCTTACCGTGTAGATGAACGCTTCATTGGGTCGTATGAATAAAAAGAGTTTACTTTACTTTCCCGTGCTTTTCTTACGGGAAAAGTAAAGTAAACGCTTTTATTCATACGACCTATTGGGACGGTACTAATGGATATTTTTGGTTGCTATTGAAAATTTAGTCGATTGCTGAATTTATGTATGCCCACCACCCCCCACCCAACCCTTCTAAAATGCAACGTCCCTTGTCTGAAGTTGCGGTTACAATAAAATCTTAAAGATTGTAAAATTTAGCAAACAAAAGCAGTAAATTAAATGGTATTAGCCACAGAATTGTTCGCAAGAGAATTAATGTTTTTTTATCGTAGATATACTTAGGCCGTTCGCAATGCTGTTGTATTTTATAAGGACTGTTTCAATTTGAAACTAGAACAGAAACGCACCTCTCGCAATGCTGAGTTGCAGTTTCATTATTCGAGCACTATTTTGCACCAGATTTGCAACTGCTCGACTATTTATCGACTGTTTTATTTCTGAGCGAGTTTGAAACACGATTGGAACTCTGTTTCAAATTTCTTTGGATGTGTTAGAGATGTTTCGAGAGCTTCACAAATAAAAACGGAGAATTTCATAGAGAACAGTAAAGTTTATGGAACTTGATGATTACAAACATCTTTTAGAACTGTGCGTTGCGCTGATCGTGTTGCAGTTTTATTTTTGACAGTTTCAAATTATAGAATTGACGAGTAGTTTAAAACAATTTTGAAACTCAGCATTGCGAACGGCCTTATGGTGGGAAGCTCCAACCGATATTATCTTCGGATTAAATCCCGATCAAGAATGTCCGACTGCTTTGATGTCACCATCCGAGTTAATCAAGACGATTTTAAGCAAACAGGGCCGGTATGAAAAGTTAATCCGAGTTGGAGCTTACCACCTTTAATGATACATATGCTAAACCCTTGAGGCACACTTAACCTAATTTTTCTTAGTCCGGAATTGAAAATCATTAAAAAAACCTAATGACTTCGGAGCCTCAAACATTTTCAAAGTCCTGAGGTGGTTTTACCGATCAGACCTTATAATGGGGTTCGACTCGTGTCGTGTTAGTTAAACTTCCCCTTTTGAACAGTTTTCCTAGACCGGGATCTTAAATTTCTGTGTTCTGGACCTTCACATATTTCTAGCGTTCAGAATCAGAATCATAAGGGCCTACCTAACTGCAATGATTGATTTTCTTCATAGATTTTCTCTTTTATTAATAACTCAGCTAGAATAATATTTCTCTTTGATGTTGCTTCTGTTAGTCAATAGGTACAACCTTTTGCATCACTGTGTTGGAAACATTTCGAAAATAGTTTCACTAAGAGAATCGATCATCGCAGTTAGGCCCTTATGATTCTGAACGCTAGTTTTCTTCTTCTTTTACTTCACAGTGCTCTCAATTTAGTGTTCTAAATGCACTTCTACAGTTATTAATTGAGGGCATTCGATGGCTGTAGCATTTTTGCAATAATATAATATGCCCAGAGAAATCGATAAATTTTCCAACCCGAAAAGATCCTAGACCAACAAGCCTGTATCATTGAATTCAGGTTTAATTGAGAACTACGCCGCTAGAGACGCTTCACTTTTATGTTACTTATAACGGGCGCTATAATATATGGATCTTCTGGAAACAAACCAGCCACCAGCAACATGGTCTTGCTTTGCGCTTTTACCGACTGAGCTAAAGGAGGCCCCAAGGAGGCTAGATTTGCAATGCCTAAATTAACTAGATAGTTTCTGTAATTTCTAGATTTCTTAAAGAAAGCGTACATGTCCCTCACCTCGATCTAATATGAAGTCTTCAATAACATTTTATGCCAATTCTTATTTAAGAATTGAGCTGCATAAGAAATTTCACTATCAACATGCATGTTTCTTATCATTGTTTATCATGCTACATAAAAGTTGTTTTATTTTTTCGGGCAGCCGGGACACTTGTATGATAATCTATGAACATGAGCATTATTTGTAGAATAAATTATGAGCACATCCAAAAATTATACAAGTGTGATCATGGATAATGGTCATAATTTATTATTCAAATAATGCTCATGCTCATAGTTTGTCATTCAAGTGTATACGCGTGTATTGACTGTATTCACTTTCAGTTGATTTTCATTTTACTGGTGCATTTTGTACGTTTTCAATATTTGGTTCCATTTGGTGAATTTTCAAATAAACCTGCTATTCCACCAGACTTATAACTGACAGGCGAGGAATCAATTTTAACAAACACCTTCTCGAAAATAATTTAAGTGAACAGTCGTCCCGCATAAACGATAACGATAAGGAGTGCCTAACAACCTATTCGGGTTATCATCCCAACAATATATGGTACGGTGGCACGATTTGTGGTATCGTTAATGTATGGTGCTCGTTTATTAGGGATCATATTGAACACAGCCTTAAGACCCTTAAGGTGAATCGTGTGGATACTTTATTTCTGATTGATCTTACTCTCGAAATTTCAACATCACAAATATCAGCTCCTACAAAACATACAACAATGAAACCGGAAGTTAGCGTTTGCTGTAGTGCAGCAAACAGGGAGTTCCAATTTGACGAGCGATGTCGCAACATTTTCCGAGATTTGTGCTCTAGAAAACTTGAAAGGATAGGGTATAACAGGGCCATTTTTGGACTCCTCAAGGAATGATCTTAAATGGTAGTTCCATTTTCCCTCAAATTGCAAATTATACATAGTCATTATTGAGTATTTTTCGAGTTTTGATAACGAAAAACTTGATTTAAGTTTTGAACGTCTAGTTATTTTTTTTAATTTGGGAAGGGTCGAAAACTAGTGCTAGGTCAGGTCGAACTGACTTTTGATTGCCCTAATATAAAGTGTTCTAGTCCTAACTATTTCCTAACACCTTCTTCCAGCTTCAGCTCGAGTCTGGCCGCACAATGTCAGCTCAGCAATTCTCTCTCCGGTGGAATAACTACACCAACTACATTACCGGAGCGTTCGATTCGCTACGCTACGAGGAAGATCTCGTAGATGTGACGCTCTGCTGTGAAGGGCGCAAAATCCGCGCTCACAAAATCCTCCTATCGGCATGCAGTGCGTACTTCAAGGAGATATTTAAAGAAAATCCCTGTCAGCATCCGGTCATCATATTCAAGAATGTCAAGTACACCGATCTCATGTCGATCGTGGAGTTCATGTACCAAGGTGAAGTTAGCGTGGTACAAGAATCGCTGCCATCGTTCTTGCATACGGCCGAGCTACTCTCGATCCGAGGACTTACGGATAACAGCGGAGATACCAGACAGCAGCAGACTCAACAAGCAACATCTTCACTGGCTCAGCAGATCATCCAGACACAAAATCAAACTCTGCTGGATAAGGCAACGATTACGACGGCTGAATCCGTATATCTTACATTGCCGTCAAATTCCACCATCGTCCATCAACCTGCGAAGCTTCTGCAGGCCCAAATTCAAACCACTCCACAAATTCTGAACAAAACCATAATCAAAACGACTCCCGCTGAAATTCCTTCGTTGACAGCCACAGGTGCCACCATTACCGTCCCAATCTCCCAACCTCAGCAACAGCAGACCATTGCCGCCAAGATCCATGTTCAACCGCAACAAACGGCAACAGTACAGCAGCAGCAAACTCAACAGGTTCAAGTTCAGCAACAAGTTCAAGTTCAAACCCAACAGCAGCAGCCTCAACAGCAACAGCAGCAAACTCAAGCCACTACTCTGCAGGAGGTAGTCGACAGTGTCGTCAGCCAGCCCAAGAAGAAAAAAATCAAAGTACAACAAATCATAACGTCAACACCGAATCAATCTATAGCAGGCGGAACTACGACAACGGTTGTGACTGCTCAAATCCCACAAAGTGCAGCCACTCAGGTAGCGGACACGGAAATCTACGAAACGTCAACGGAAACCTATCACATTACTACGGCCAAATCAGAAGCGGAGGACAACCGGGTACAAGAACAAGAGCAAGGTATATGGATGGTCTATGATTTCAATGTTTCTTTGGTATCAACAAGATCTATTTTACAGTCGAATCCTACGCAGAATCGGCGCAAGCAACAGGCGCTTCGTTGAAAATGGAAATACCAGAATACATCGACTGTGGCGAAGCTATCAACACATCCAATGCGAACAATACGTCCTATATTCAAGGTTACTCATTAATTTTATTTAAGCTTGTTTAATTTTACGTTCGATCTAACATTTGATTTTTTTTTTCTGCAGAAGAAAGCTACGAATTGGTCGGTGAAGCCGAACACATTGAAAAAGATGTGGACGACGAGGATATGAATCAGGACAACATCGAAATGGAAGCCACGGAGATGGATATGAGTAAGATGAGCTGTCAATTTTCTGGTGGGCCAACGCGAACTAATCGCGTGCAAATGCTTTTGTTTATCTTTTACAGGCCGTATTTTCCAGGGAGCATCCGATGAGACTAAGGCAAATTTGCTGCAAGGTAAGTACCCTTTTTGCGTGTTTATGTTTACTTGTGTAAAGGTTGAAAATGGTTGAAAATGCGCCTACCGTCGAATTCGTGCACTGAACCGCAGAGTAGTTGTTATTAAGCTTTAAGTGAAACCATATTTTAAAATGCCGCACTCGTGTGATTCTGCATCTATGTTCAACAAAATGCCATAAATGCGGACAACGTAACCGTCTCCCATTGGTCATTGAGTAACACTCATTGGCAATGCGTTGCTGGCATGGAGTGCTCCAAACATGGACATCTATTTGTCACTTGTAACGATCTGCATTTTGGATAGGGAATTTCGTTACTGCCATATTGCTATGCAAGTAGAGTGTGTGTGTGTGTGTTTACAATTTAATACGCACTGTCTGGCAGTGGTATTGTGGATAAAATCTCCCTGCAATAATTTTTTATGAATGCAAGAAACTTGAACCTTCCCAGTCGGCGCCGCCGGGATGTTCTGAGGCATAACATCTCTGATCACGCCTAGTAAGGAAAGCCGTTGGTCCCCGGTTCATGAGTTGATGGGTTGATAAGTAGGGTCCAGCTGTAGGAGCTTCTTCCCTCTTCGGTAGCATTGGTGCTCAGCACGGAAAACAAGATTGACGGAAAACAAAAAAAAAGAAGTTTGAGCCCGGCTCTTCGATTAACCCTTAAATGCATGATTTTTTATTTTGTGGTGATTTTTTTTTCTTGTAGTATATATTGCTCTTACTATTAAAATGTTGTTTCACCATGTTTAAAGACCAACATAGGTATGTTGCCAAATGGCAACACTATGCATTTAAGGGTTAAGATAGTTCTACCATAGCTCCAATAGTCCATTTCAAGAACGCAAGCATTTCCAAGCTATTTTCACAAGGCCCGCTCCAATGCATTACCGATGCTAATATACACATTGATAATGTACTAAAACTTTCAATCAAGCAGTAATGCAATTATAAATTAAGGTATGGCTGATATGTAAAAATAAGTTAAAAGGGGCTTAAATGTTTTAAGCGATAAATCACTTAAATCCCGAAAATATCGTATATAAATCGATTCTTCATTTATAAGGCATACTAGCTGAAACCCGTGCGAGCGTTGCTTCGCTTGCTACTAAATGAACGGAAATTTAATAGAATAGTTATGCAGAAATTTCTGTTTCATTTGTATGGGATGGATCTCGAACCATGATAAGAACTGAAGGAACTACGTGGACAGGACGGGGCAATAATGAACAGGCCGAGACTTAACGAACAAAAGAATGTTTTACTAAAGCAAACTTGAATTGCTCACATGGAGCTTTTGAATTGGAATGACAGCGAAAAATAACAGGAGTGAACAGGTCAGGTAATCCAACGACTACTTTGATTTCAAGAACCTTTCCCGGCCCCATAACCTCTGCATACAAATTTTCTCGCCGACCATTTCAGTAGTTTCCGATTCTATAAGGGTCAGACATACAGACAGAAATTCATTTTTATATATATATATAGATTAGCTATTCGAATTTTGACGTAGGACTACGTCTGTGATTTTTATAAGGGGGCATACTTTGTGAAAACCGAAAATGGAACATGTAACGAAATTATGAAAGATTTTGAACGTTATTAACTCAGCTGTCACTAGACCAATTTCAATCATTTTATCACCAATCGATTAGAAATACTTCGATGCGTCTATTGCAATGCTTCCAACTGTTGATTTTTTTAACAAGGAACTGTTGAAAAAGTGGTAAATGTCAAGCATTGTCCAAAAGCGTTGAAATTGTTTCTGCGTTCAAAGTCTTCAAAACGTGTTCGTTCAGAACTATTTACATGATTGCTTATGAATGTTCCCAAGAATTAGCTTTAAAATCATATACTTTCACAGAATTCAAAATTCCTCTAACATAAATTTTATATTATCTCTGATCCGTTAAAATTTTTGTTTGCAACGACCAGTCGATCTCTGCAGAAACCTCAAAAAATAAAAACGTGTAATTTATCCTAAGATTCTCTTCGAATTATCAATTAAACGACCAAGAATTCATTTCAGCCAGTGCTGAGATTTGTCATTGTCATTGAAAGACTTCATGTGATATTGACAAAATAAATTCTGACTTCTTCACTGGAAGAAATAATTCTCAAAAAAAAAAACCTTCGTCAAAATCTCATTCATTTTGACGTAGGACTACGTCTGTGATTTCTATTTGAGAGCGTTTTGTGAAAACCGAAAATGGAACATGTAACAAAATAATGAAAGATTTTGAACGTTAATAACTCAGCTGCCCCTGGACCAATTTCAATAATTTTATCACTAATCGATCAGATATATTTCTACGCATCTGTTAAATTTAAGACATCATTTTTCAAAATTTCACTAATGAAAATTTCACAACTGTGCAACTGTTGCTTTGATAACTAAAATGGTCACCGATTGCCTGCGAAAAGCGATTTCCCTAACACAGATTTCAAAGTTGAATTCTATCCGGTCTCACCAAACGGTGTTTATTCAATCACCGCGTGGTGAGTAGTTGTGGTATTTTCCAGTACACAACGAAAGGCAAGCAGCTAGCTACCAAGGCGGGCCTCAACCGCTGATCGGATTCAGTTCCTATCACCGTGTGTGGTGATGTCCGGCCGTCGACATCAGCTGTAGCATCAACAGTGCTTTCGGCGCGTGGCGTTGAACATTGTTCTCCAGTACACAACGAAAGGCTGCCTGCAAGCAGTGAGCTGCAGCCTACATTCACACATCGCTGTCAAGCATAGTAACATACCGGTTACTACTTGAACTTATTAGGAAAAAAAAATGTGAATTTAGAAAAATGCGATGCTTTCCTGTTATTGCCAACACGTGATTTTTGTCTATCAAATTTATCGAACGCTTTATTCAATTTAGGATTGTACTGGGTCATTCGGATAGGTACTGTATCTGGATTTAGAAAATCAGGATATTTGGTTATCTTCATTGAGTCGACACCCTGTAAGAGGAAAAAAAATGATCTTTTGGTACAGCTTTTATCTTAAAATAGTTCAGAGTTGGTTGGAAATGCTATCTAATATGAAGCTTTAGTGTGATAATTTATTAGCTAGAGAATGGTCTTAGAAGAGGGTAAGTGGATAGGACCGTTAGAGTATGGCAGTATGACAATTGAATAGAAGTTGAAAATAAACGAAGGGTCATTAATGCGATAGTACGAGTCAAAGGCACACTATTTTGCCTAACCCGTACGATGTACACTGAAGTCTTTTTTACACGGTTTTTCGCGATTTACACGGTACGTTTTTAACGATTTCTCGACAACGATACAACCTATCGACTTGATTCCAATTACATTATCCGTTTCAAGCTATAGGTAATCGAATGACGTACTTTAAAAAAATCACAATTTTTGGTGTAAACACAGAAATTTTTAAAATATGTCTATATGGACAATAGCATGCTATAATTACAAATGGCATCAAAATCCGATTTTTTTCAAACAATTATACAATTTTGAACGGTACATATCCCCCGTGTTAAAAAAGACCTGAGTGTATGTCTTCAATATTCAATACTTCAAATCTCCGTGTACATCTATGGGTTACGCTTTTGCCTAACCCATAGATGTAGTGTGCGTTTGACTCGTGCTGTCGCATTAATGGCCCTTCGCTTATTTTCAACTTCTATTCAATTTTCATACTGCCGTACTCTAACGGAACTATCCACCTATCCTCTTCTAAGACCATTCTCTAGCTAATAAATGATCACACTAAAGCTTCATGTTAGACAGCATTTCCAACCAACTCTGAAAATCGCAAACTTCGCGTATGAAGTAACATAACAGCACTTTGAATGTTAAAATAGTTGTTAATTTACTGTAAAATCAATTAAAATAATTGATTCCCATACTCTTTACTTTACTTTACTCTCGCCTTACTACTAAAAGAGTAAGCTATTGTGTCGATCACACAATTCTCTCCCACACGAGCTCAATCTCTTTCCATGTGTTTTGATGACACACGATTTATGTTTTCCCTCTCACAGACTTCAGAACATAGTACCTGTCACTGAAAAAAAGACCATTTCTCTTATTCAACGATGCCATTTATCCTGATTTTTGTACACGAAAAAAGTTGGAATCCCTTCGTTTATTTAGCTACCGTTAGGTTCTGGAACAATTTTGTTAGTTCAAAAATAGTTATGGTTTGGAACTATTTTTTTTTTTGAAGTAATAAACTTGGTGCAGTACCTTACTGTTGGGAATCTCGTGAATCGGATGCAGAAGAAAACAAACTAGTCCTTTCAGCAGCCTTTTATGCGTTGGCAGCTTTAAAGCTGAAATATATTCTTTGATAGTAATAATTAGCATGCTTTATGGCTATATACACAAATGTGTCTTACATTCTAGCCTACGCTTTCGTCCAATTCTCTCCGATCTTCACAGCATCAATCTTCCAATTCAAGAATTCTTCTTGCTACGCGATCGACCAATAATCCACTTCAGCAAGTCGTCCGTTTTCGTTCCCGTTCCACGAGTAACAGCAAACCACCTACAATCCAGAATCGAACTCCAATAAAGGTTTCCACTGCAACTTCAATTCCGTTTCTTACCGATACTTTAGAACTGCCTTACTGTTCAAATTTCACTGGCCAAGACTTTAAAATAGCTTGAATACTAATTAATTATATTCACTTTAGAAATCAATCTCCGCTTTCCTGTTACGTTGTCTTTTTTTTCCTTGTTCTTTCTATGCTGCCCTTTGTCGATCGGCTGACAGCTGTCACTCCGTGTCAGGAGTTCCCGGGACTCACCTCGAAGTTGTTCAGAGTTGCCGTTCGTCGCACGGTGGGTTCGATAACACCTTACGGTATCAAAATAAACAAGGGAGTCCCAACTTTTATCGTGTACAAAAATCAGCCCTTATGTTTTATCTAGTTCGTTTATTTGTAAGGCTCAATCGCGTTAGCTTTACGGAGCCGATAATTCATTGTTCTTAGTTTGTAACAAAATTCACCTAATTCTACTCTAACGGAACTAT